TTCCCGTGGTGGTTATGCAAAAGAAATCGAGTTCTATTCATAATGTCATGGAATGTACTTTCGCAGGAATAAAAAATTTCATTCTCGTATGCCAAACAGTTTTTGTTTAATTTTTTGTAGTGCTCTTATTGAAAAACATGTTAGTTACTGCTGGTAAAATAGCGATACTGTTTGGAGCGCTGAGATAATAAAAGCGATTTAAATGAATCAGTACAAAGTATGTCTCCAAAAATAGCACAAACTGCAAAGCGCATAGTCACCAGTAGCAGCTTAAAAATCATCGCGTTGGCAGAGTATTTCAACATCTCTTATGGCTCGACTTAACCTATTTTAGTTATTGTTTCGAGTATTGGGCTTGTTAATGCTAGCCTCGTACCAAAAGAATCCCTTGCAAAACGATGTCAGATAAAGGTCGCAAAAAGGATGAATGATACTTGGTGACAAGAAGCGGGATATGTATACGACGACGAAGCTGTGCAACAATCTAAACCGAAAAATCCAAAATTTACTGAAGCCACTGATGGCCGTTCAAGCCCAGGCTCATAAAAAACGTATGGAAAATTTTATTAAGCGTTCACAGATTTGTTTTTGGTCACAAGGACTCCATTTTGATGGCATGAACAAAGATTGGTAGGAAAACATGTGAAAATATATATGTGTGTATTTCTTTAAGGGTGCTTTTTATGTGACAGGTCGCAAACTTGGCGCACAACCCTGGAGAGGTAAATTCAGCCTTCCCACTTTAGCTCGCCTTCAAATGGATGTTTTTTTTGGTTACCCAGAGAATATTTGGTATAAGGCCAGAAGTCGTGAGATGCTGAACTTTCAGAGAACTTTCCTCACAGTGCACGCATACTTCTACACATGACTCCATCCTCCTGGCGACTGGTGCGCTGTTGTAAACTCGTCTATAACCGTGTAAGCGGTGTCGACGCCAATAAAGAAGATGAAGTTTATTTATTTATATACATAAAAGACCCGAACGATAATCGAGTCGAATTCAAGTCTTCTTGTTGAACAAAAGACGTGTAAGGAACTCATCGAGGATTCGTAAATTATCTCACACTTCCTTATGGGTATAAAGCGAGTGGACGGCGAGCAAAAAATTGTTAGTATTTTAGATACTTGGTTCTAAGATAACCGCTTGAAAGAACCACTGTGGGGAGAAAAATGGTATTCAAGAAAAAGTGTACGTGTCAAAGCTTGGCAAAAAATATTTTAAATGGTATCTGCGTAAGAGCTCGGTACAACATTTGGAGTTGTACCATCTTCTAATTGATTGTCACAAAGCATAGTGATTTTTTGAAACTCATTGCATACATTTGGGATGAAAAACTCCAAAGACACTTTAAGATATCAAGAGTGATAAATATTTGGGGATTGTTAAAGATTCCAAAATTAAAAATACGTTAAATATTGTATAAGTAGTAAGCAGGAGTAGAGAGTAAGCAGAAAATATCAAAAGGACCATTATCACATAATAAAATAAAAAATCATTATTAAATTATTTTTATTTCAACAGACACTGCATAGTTTGACTATTTTGTGAAAAATATTATGCGGAATCGAAGAAAACTCTTTGCTATCACTACAACTTGCCAGCCACTACCCATTTTCCAGACCACCAACTTACAAACCGCAAGCTCTAGAGTGCAGTAGACTTCCTTAACACAAGCCATCGAAAGTAAAAGAAAACAGCAATAACAATAATTATGAAATTTCAATAAGTTTAAAAAATGTATTCAAGAAATTACTGCTGCTGTTTGCATGGAATAAATCGAATTCTTTTCAAAGTAATTCCCGGCATTGTATTTGCACATAAAAGTGCAATTTCCTGTGTATTCTATTTTTGAATAATTTCCGTGCTTATGAGTTGGAAAATGCAAATCAAGTGTCATATAAACACTTTACAGCAACACATTTGACCCAAAAAGGCGAAGAGTGAGCGCATTAGTGCGTCTAAATAACGACGACTGCAACTAAACTACGTGAGGGGTGGAATGCAGACAATAAATATAAATAGTGGCACCACGCAACATTTACCAATAACATTGAAAAGAGATTTCGAACAAAAACCGGGATGAGGAAAGCGAAAAGCACTGCCTAGCGCACCCACTTCACATACATACAAACACAATGCTCTTCGGAATAGCATAGCATAAAATGAATGCCTAAAACAAAGCATCTTTTCAATTTACCAAAAAGTTTCCAAATTTCTATTTTATTGTAAATGCCAAAAATATGCGCCAATCAAGTGTGAAGCATGAAAACGAGTACGCTGAAGCGCTTAGCATCAACAGCGTGTGGTAGCAGAAAATCGAACCTGATTAACATATTCTGTTTCTATGTTGTCGGCAGCTGCTTTTATTCGTAACAGATTTTGTTTTTAACAGAATACGCTGTTAAAATCTTACAGAGAATGTTAATCCGAAAGTGCAGAATTATAGCATGTTACTTGGATACCCAAACAGTGGTGGCTGTAAAATGTAAAAGGGTTGGCAAAATTATGAAAATCTACAGCAGCGCAAAAAATTAAACTTTAAAATGAAATAAAAAATGTGATGATATCAAAATGTAGTAGTATTAAAGTATTGCGAGAGATATTTTGAAATATTACACGTTTTTAAAATGGAAAATAATGAGAAAAAAATTTCACTTTAGCTGCACAAACGCTTTAATTTCCTTCACAGGTACATTTCTTATATCGCAAAAGGGTATAGAAAGATTTTTGATTTTTAACCAGTCACTTTGTACTCTAGCAATATGCAATACTGGTCCGATCTGTACAATATGTGTGGAAAATGCAACTTGCATTGAAAAATGATCTATGCTAAATTTCATGAACATCACTTGTCTAAATTAGGTGGTCGAAAAAATCTTTTCGTTTTTTGTGAATAGGTGTCGTTGCAGTCATAAATTTCCAGTGCTATCAATCACATTGTGTCATACCATATAATGGTGGAAAGTTGAGATTTTAAGCTTCATTTAACCAAAAAACTATCGGGTAAGTTCAAGTTATGGCTGTTCAAAGTGCCACGCAAGGCACTAATGAAGTTTGTGAAGTCTGCGGAAATGATGTTGTTCAGTTCGTGTAGTACAACAAACAGACAGTTAACATTCATTATCAAACGCTTTTGAGCCATTAAAAAAATCTGTCTACAAAAAGAAGCTCGATGTTTGGGTACCACATTAATTGTCTGTAAAAAAATTAAAGGGCTAAATTAACATATGCGATTTTTTGCTGAACTGAAATGAAATCGAGCCATTTCTGAAGCGAATGGTAACAGGAGATGAAAAGTGGGTCAAAAACGAGAATAATATGCGAAAAAGATCATAGTGCAAGCGTGGTGAAGCTAAACGAACACAGGATTGACGTCTCGAAAGGTTATGCTGAGTGTTTGGAGGGATTGAAAAGAAATCATCTACTATGAGCTACCCAAGCCTGGTCGAATACTTGATTCTACAATTTACTGTCAGCAACCGATGAGATTGAAGCAAGCAATCGGAAAAAACGGACAGAAAGGGCTTCGTCTTCCATTCGGGCAACGCTGGACTATACACATCGGCATGACTCGGCAAAGACTGAGAGAGCTTTTCTAGGAAATTTCGATGCATCCACCATAAAAACCCTGACCTTGTACCATCGCACTACCACTTGTTTCGGTCAATGCTGAACTCTCTTAATGGAGTAAAGACGGCTTCAAGAGAAGCTTAAAAATTACCTGTCGCAGTTTTTCGCCGAGAAACCAGAAAAGTTTTACACTGATTGAATAATGTCTCTTGCGGAAAAGTGGAAAAAAGTGGTTGACCAAGATGATACATATTTGGTTGATTAATGTTCATTATAAATATAAAAAACATAATAGAAATATGAAAAGACTTATCAATATACTACTCAATATATTCGACACGTGTAATTTATTTCGACAAAAAATTTAATTTTTTACATTTTATAGATATAAAAGGTTGGGCGAGTGTTTTATGGCCACAAAATCGCTAAGCCACCAGTGTAGAGTTCTGCAGTGAGCTATGAAATTAAGTACAAGCTGTTATGCTTACATTATCACTGTACACAACATACTGTAATTGGAGCACGTTACCCATTTCCGTTAACATTGTGGCCCACGCTAACCTCCTCAGTCATGCTCCACAGCCCGACGCTTGCACGACTTTGCTTGGTTGTCTGACTCCAACTGACTTTGCCACCAAGTGACTTTTCAATTGCCGGCGCCGCTGCTGCTGCTTTTGCTGTTGCCTTTCAATGTTGCTGATAATTCTGCTGTTGGCAGTTTGTTGCTTGGCTTCCCCAAACGCATTTCCCGCAATTTCAGTTTTGATTTGCGTACGGCGCGGTTAAGACGGACTTTTCTTCCCAGCAGTTTGCGAATTACTTCGTGGACAGCACACGCACTCCCGATTAGGGCTTTGTTATACGAACGCGTCAACGTATTAGCTGCAAAGCGTGCGCGACACATGTGGAAGTGACGTAGCGTAGCCACACACACACACCCAAGCACACATGGCTTGGTTTTATACTTAAGTGGCGAAGTGTTTATTGTCTTTTCGTGGCGCGTTGCTTTTGCGGACGCTCGGTTGATGTGCGTTGCCTTTTGTAGGGCGTTTCGTGTCTCGTGTCGAGGTGCAGAATACAAAGTCGGAGAAAAAAGTTTATCACAAGCAGCTGAGATTAACTGACACGCGGGAAGTTGGCGCGCCAGTAGTGTGCAATTAATGCAACAAATAAATAAGTGCGAATTGAGCGATATATGTAAGTCCGAATGGCCCTTTTTTGTGGTGTTTGTAAAAAAGGGTTAATTTAGTGATGCGAGGACTAATAATATAATTCGCTGAAGTGATTTCGAAAATTAAACTGGTTAGTGCGAAGTGTTGATATTTAAAGGCGAGATTAAGCGAGAGAAGGATATTATAATAACAACAATTTGTAATAAATATTTTACAGTACTGATTCGTATGATACTGAAAACTAATTAAAAATATATTTGCATGAGATAGAATATTATTATTAATCAATAACAAAAATACTAAAAACAGTGTGAGAGTGTTTATAACAGGTGTGTCAAACTTTCGTTTGATTGATACATTTTTGAAGAGCCGGTTAAACTATCTTTGTGGATCTGCAGTTAAACAAAGTTAATAAAAAAGGCGCACAAGTCCAAAAAAGCATTTGGTGAGTTAAAACAGACTTAAAATAAGTTAATAAATGGTGTGGGAAATTTTTCTTATATGACAGAATGTCAGAGAAAGACGTGAGGTCCGGCTGGGATATTTTAAAAATTATTAACTTTTTATGGTGTTGTCTTCTTTAAAAATCTTTCAAAATGTTGTTCTAACATAAGTCTAACATAAGTCGGCATTAACGATTTATTTATTTATATTTTTTGGAGAAACCATAATACTTAAATTTATTATTAACTATATATTAGAGCTGATGAAAAATGGAAAATAAATTTTTGTACAAAAAAAAATTTTTTTGAAAAAAATATGGAAAACATTTTTTTTTAAATAATTGGAAAAACAAAATTTGGAAAAATAAATTTAGGGGGAAAAAATTAAAAAAAAAATTGGAAAAAAAAATTTTATGTTCGATGGGCTGATTCGTTGTCAGTTTTCGGTTAAGATGAACGGTGCTCAATTCAAGAAGTCAATAACAGACATCTGAACGTTTATTTATTAGGAACAAGCTTGCAAAGAATGCATTAAAATGTAATTAAATTAACATAAATTTTTGCTTTTATATTGTAGTCCTGAAATGTAAACTGAAAGTATTTTTAAAACTTCTGATTTCAAATATCGGAATGAAAATGTTGAAAATTTTAAGCCCAAATGCCGGTTTAAAAAAATGAATACTAAATACCGGTCTTGAAAATAAAAAAGCCCATCGGAGTCGTCTTAAATGGTTACATTTGTTTTCTCGGGTATGATAGCTATTTTGCAACAATTTTTTTCGCATATAAAAGACTAAAATTGTCTTAAATTTTTTTTATTGTTACAAACATATACTATTAACAAGGAAATTTCGAAATTTTTGCAAAAGAATATTTTAAATTATTGCGACGTCATTTTGGGCGACCTCTTGGAAAAAAAACGCGCCTACGTTGACAGGATAACTTCTTTGCAGGAGCTTTAGTTAATATTATAACTTAGAACTTGGACGATAAAAAAAAATCGGAAATTGGATTTTTGGCAGACATTTTTACTAATAATGAAAATTTCAGTGGAATTTCGCGATTTTTTTCAGATAGTTGTAATAGAAAAAATATTTTTCGTCCAAGTCTTTCAGATCGGTTGAGTAGTTCTTGAGAAATCTTGTCAAGCGACTGCAAAAACATAGTTTCGAGAAAAACTCGTTAAAACTAGCCTCGACAGTATTCTAGAGGTGCTGTAGAAATAAATAAGACAGTAAAAAAATCAATTTTTTTTGGAACCCTAATATTCTCGCAACCCTGATTATAAAGAATACAAAAGTTGCCAACCCATAGGGATCGACTTAAAATTTGTAGAGGTCTGCAATTGTTGCATAATTTCAAGACGCCAAATATTATAAGAAACCCTGCTCCACAATTATAAATTTTATGTCACGAGCGAACTTGAATGAATGGTAGTATCACTACTTACACTATTCAACGATTCTGGGGAAAAATTACGATTTTTTATATAAAATAGCATATGCCTGAAATGTTCTATGGATCATTATGAGCAACTCTGCCCAAGAGACTATGGATCTAAAATCGGTTTCGAGCCAGTGTTTTTTAAGGCTAAGGCTTCTTGTAACTCAGTCTGTTCTTTCCTACACCCCTTGACAAAAACAACAAAAATTCTACGAGTTAGGAAATTTTTACTATGTATAATTTTCGGTTTTATCACCACGAAATTAGCAAAAATCGGCTGCTAACATTAGTAGTCGCAAAATGACTGTTAACTAGTGTTATTTGTGAGTCGATTTTAAATTAAAGTTTCAAAAAGTAAATTTAGACAAGGCCGCTATTGCACAGTCTTCCGCTTTACAATTATATCGTAAAAAATGTATGAATAGTACTTGTACTTGAGAAAAGGTTTGAACTTTTTGCTTCTCTAAAGGAAGCAAAGAACTAATCTAGCAAAAGCACAAAAGTATACACTCAATTTAAACAAAAATTTGTCGTGGATACGGTATATTTGTTTCTTTGCACACTGGCGAATTATTTAGAAACAAAAAATAACAACAACAATTGCTGTAAAACACGTCCCCTTAAATACTGAAATTTGCCTTATCGCTGTTTCAATAAAAAAGGCAGTGCGGTAGGCAAGCTGTGACACAAGAGCAACATTTAACAATAATACTGCTGTTAAATGCTCACTGGAGAGCCCTAAGGTTTCATGCCGCCTCTAAATTTTTAATTTTTTACTTAACCAGAAAAAAACTTAGAGACTTCCCTGTGCTTGGCGACAATCGAACGTGTTTTAAAAGTACTTTTAAGCCCAATAGATTTTGAGCTGTTCGTCTCAACTGTTTACGAAATACGCACGAGCACATTTGGTCATACTGATTACGAAGATAATGTTTTAATTGTATGTAAATAATAGTGTCACAGTAACGAAGAAAATATTAAGGGTGTGAAATTGGCAATTAAGGCATTTTGAACACAAAATTTGGACAGAGTCAAGTATTTTGGATTCATAAGATAGTTACAAATATGACAGCAGGAAAGTATACTTGAGCTGCCTGTTTGAACAACCAATAGTATAATATTATAGTAATAATATATATATCTACTGCGAGCATTTTAGTCCTCAGTAATAGCTAAATCACAAAACACGAATTTCTATTATAGGTCTTGGTTTGGATCCAAAGGCGTTGAAGGATCCACCCCAAGACCTAGCCTAATATCTAAATCTTTGTCGCTCTTCTCTTCCTCAAAAACAAAATCTTCGCTTGCTGTTGCTCACATTTCTGTCGCAAGTGTAAGTGTACACGTTCAAATACTTTTAAAAAGTTTTGTTTGTTATGCAAAGCATTACGGCGTGGCAATAATAAAAAGAAGAGTGTGGAAAAGTGTCCATAAAAGTGCGTACAACGAAGAACTCGCCTAAGTGGCAATAAAACAAAAAACCCCAAAAACAAAAAGTTAAAAACAAAATTCTGAAAACTATTTTTGTTTGCACACTTTCGGTTTCACGCCCTTTATTGCTGTAATTTTCCGCCAACAACTTCTTTTAACAGCATTGGCCAACAACTTGAACGCTGGAAATTAAAAGTTTTGTTTTGATGTGAAGCCACAGCTTGACAATTAAAATAAAATACTTATACAAGTTTAGGAAATATTTCCTTTTATTGTGTCACCGAGTTTTTCCCTCTTCATTTTTTGAATGGTGAAAAATGTTGTGACTTTGCATTTGCTGGCGCTGAGAATTTTTAATTCTTGTTTATATTCCAGATTCGATTGTAAGCCATTTTCTACGTACTTCCATTGAAAGTAAATAAAGCGTGTATAATTAATGCAAAAGTACCACAATTAAAGCATTTTTTCGTTGATCTTAAATAATGAAAGCTTTCAGTTTTTTCATTGCTTTGGTGCTAACAGATATTTGGCTATATGTTTTAAGGAATGTGATACTTCAATCATCTGCTATGCTAGTAATACTCTTATGATTTGTTTTGCTGTTTAAATTCATGGGGTGAAATATGAAAATGAATGAATGTACGAAAGCTATGCACCGGTCATGAAGTATATTGTACATCTTTCCTTGTGAATTAAAAAAAAAAAAAACGAAGTTTTTTGTATAGTAAATAAAATATACGAAAATATTCTCTGAAAATCTGAAGTTGATCCGGCATACATTTTTGAACATATGAGAATATTGTAAGATTTTTAGCCTAATATAATCGTCTACCAGAAAATATTCTCTGAAAATTTGAAGTTGATCCGGCATACATTTTTGAACATATGAGAATATTGTAAGATTTTTAGCCTAATATAATCGTCTACCAGAACTTTAAATGAGGTTTTCATATTGGCAAGAAGAATGTCTTCGAAACAGTTGGACTGATCGTTTGAATTTTTCCATTTTATATATATCTATTCGTCGAGTAATTTGGATTTTTTCACAGCTTTGACAGCTGACTTTGAGACTTTTTTGAAAGCCACCATTTTGACAAAAATAAGATTGGGCTATGCCTTCGAAAGGCATTAATCTATGGTTATAATACATTTTTGGTTTTTTAATTTTTAGAAAATTTAAGGTCGTTTATTCCTGATGAGAACAAAAAATCGTTTTTTGCATATTCATACTTCAAGAACCTTCTTCTTTATTGGCGTAGACACCGTTTTTTCGCGCCTGGTAGAAGACAGATGAAATTATCTGCGACCACGAAGTTATGATTGTCAACAGTGACAAGGGAGTCAACGAGTGCTGCGGCTGCTTGTTCAAAGACAGGAGATATTTCGTCTTGCCTTCGTTTACTACCAGAGTCATTTACTTCCGGCCAATGGTGACGATATCATCGGCAGACGTACCGCAGCAGTTGTGTCTTAATTTTTTAGATCTGTAGCTTGAATTATTTTTTCCAAGAGTAGATTGATGAAGTCGCACCAAAGGGAGTCGCCTTGCCTAAAACCTCGCTTGATATCGAACAACTATGAGAGAACCGTCGCGATCTGTATCCGCATTATTTTTGCAGGGATACCAAATTCAGACATAGACACATAAAGGCAGCTCTTTTCTGTGCTGTCAAATGCAGTTTTGAAATAGAAAGTCTTTTCCAAGATTTAATGCAGGGTTAATATCTGGTTGTTGATTTTTCGGGCCTAAAGCCATACTGCTAAGGTCCAATCAGCTTGTTGACGGTGGGCTTTAATCATTCACATAATACGCTCGATAGAACCTTATATGCGATATTTATGACCTTTATCTTACCTTTTTATGACAGTTTGAAATGGGTTAGGTCATCTAAGTCTGATAGGTTTTTGGTACCCATTACAATAAAAGATCGAGTTAGGTTACGAGGCCTTTAGGATTGATAGGCTTGCAAGCGCTTGGCGCGAATTTCCAAATAAATAATTCTTCTCCCAGACCACCCCAAGATTGTGTACTGGGTTTTGGACTTGCTACATAAAAAACACAACCAATGAAAAAAGACATTATGAAATATTAAATGATACGGAGTGGATCAATGTAAAGTAAATTTCA